GTTCACTGACGGGTCGTGCCGCAAGCTCCTATGCTGGGACATCGCGGCGCGCGCGGGCTGGGGCTTCGTCCTCGTGGGCGACAGAAGCTATCGCGGTGCCGTGTTCGGCCATTTGCCTGGGCCACGGCAGACGTCGGCCAGAGCGGAGCTGCACGCCATCCTGCAGGTGCTGGTTGCAGGTGTGGCCCCGCTTCACATCTACACGGACTACCTCCCCTTCATTGACGGCCTCTCTCGAGGCAAGAGGTGGTGCACGGCGGCTGCTCGCGACAATGTCGATATATGGAAGCGGCTGTGGCACTACATCGAGGAGCACGGTGGCACGGAGGCTGCCGGCGACAGGGGCCCCGCGCCCCTCACCTTCACCCACGTGCGTGGCCACCAGAAGGAGGACACGTGGGAGCGCAGGTGCAACGACCTCGCCGACCAGGCGGCCAAACGCGGGCGCAGGCTCCACGACCTGCCGTGCCGCGTGGTGCAGCACCACGGCCGCGCGCTGGACCGCGTGCGCCAGACCGCTGCATGGATCGCCAGCGCGTCCAAGCTGCAGTGGACGGGCGCCGTCGCCGCCGACAGGGTCGAGGTCGCGAGGCGCCGCCCCGCGGAGCTCCGCCGGCGGTGGAGGGAGCAGCGCGGGCGGCCAGCGGCCGAGGCGCCGCCGCCTGCCGCCGCAGAAGGAGCTGGAGCTGACGGCCCCTGCGCGCCGCCTGCGGTGCCTGCGCCGCCTCTTTTCCCTCACGCCCTCCGCCTCCCTGTTCGTGGAAAACGGAATCGTTGGCAGTGTGAGCGATGCCCTGCGTTTGCCGCCTCCAAGGCGGGAGCGCGTCAACCTCAATGCTCGACCTGTCCTGTGGCCGAGGCGGCGGCCCTGTGGGGCCAAGGTTTTTCGTCGCGGGATGTGGCTGGCGCGGGGCCCGACGATGGCCCTGCGGCGCCCGGCGGAGCCTCGACCCCTTCCCCGTCCGCTGGTGACGGCCCCCCCGTGGCCGTGGTCGAGGGTTCTCAGGAGCCCGAGCCCGATGCAGAGCCGCCGGCCTCGAGCCTCGGTTCTGGAGGGCCCTGAGCGGCTCCTGGCGTATAAAACGGGTGAGGCTCCGCAGCGAGGCCGAGCAGAGAGATCTCGACCTCAAGAGGACGTGTGCTGGCCCTCTGCAGAGGCCGCACGGGTGCACGACTCCGTGGGGCCCAGACGTCCACCCTCCCCTCCGAGCAAGACTCGGGGGCCAGGAGTGCAAGGGGGAGAGCAGGGTTGACGGCAGTGGGGCCTCAGGGGGCCCGCGCTTCGAAGGCGCCGCGGGTTGGCGCCCCTGCCGCCCCGCCAAAGGCCTTCCGAGAGGCCCGGGAGTCCCAGGGGGGATCCCCCCCCCCCAGGAATGACAAGGCCTCTGGAGGCCAGCGGGAGTCCTGGGTCGCTCGGGGTGCCGTCCCTCCCGACCTCCCCCTCCCCGCTCACCACGGCCCTGTCAGGCCAGCTATAGCGCTGGAGGTCATGCCATCGTCCTTGCCGGGTCTGCCCTTGCATCCTGCCGCCGCTGTGGGGCCAGGGCCCAGCCGTCGGCCCCGCGGTCCCGTCTTTGGGGAGTCTGCTCGGGTCTTGCATCCAGCAAGGACGCTACATATCTTAGAGCCCTCGAGGCGGGTAAGGACCCGATCTCGGGGGAATGGAGGGGCGAGCCTCGCCCTCTCCAGTCTTCTGATGACGCTTGCTTTTGGCTTCGTCTTCGGTAATTCGCCTGGCTTTTGCTTCGTGTTTTGCCTCTGCTTCGTGCTGCGCTCGCTCGTCTCGCCCTAATATTCTGCGCCTGCCTTTCTCCTGTCTCGGCGCACCTGACATGCCACGGTGGTGCCTCCTCTTCCTCCTCCTCCTCCTCCTCATCTTCCTCCTCCTCCTCCCCCACCTTGTCCTTGTTTTTCTCCCCCTTCCCCCCCGAGGGTCCCCAGGCCCCCAACGCCGGGGCTCGTCGCAGCGTGCACCCCCAGAGGTCTGCACCCCTTCCGCAGCACCGGCCTTTCCTCGCGAGCCCTTGCTTATGCTTGACGGCCCCGGGTCCAAAAGGGGCTCTGACGACTCGGCGAGGTATAGCTGGTTTCCCCAGCGCCTCCCCGGCGCCCGAGGCGCCCGTGCGTCGAAGCGCCCCACGGCGGGGCCGACACCGGCTGCACGCAGGCAGACTTCAGAAGCTCCCCTCTCGCAGTCCCCCCCCTTTTCGTTCGGGCCACGACTCGGGTCTGCAGCGGCCACTCGGGACGTCCGGGGCATCCCCAGCACGCTCCAGGCTTAGGTCGGGCATGTTCTCCTACAGGCGGACTTTGGACGGCAAATAAACAATATTCAAGCCATACTCAAACATAGTTGAAACAAACAAGGGAAAAATAAGCCCCCAGACCAGATCCTACTATTTTTGAATCTTCCCACTGTAGAAGGACATGCCCGACTTAACTCGAGGCCCTGGGTGAGGCGCAGCTGCTAGAAAAAAAACATCCCGAGGCTGACAGACGGCCGAGCACCAACGAGAAGACGCCGAGGGGCAGGCCGGACGAGGCCCCCTCTCGCCCGACCCGATGCTCCCCAGAGGTGCTGCGAGAGCCCCAGACCCCCGAGGTCGTGACTTTCTCGCAGAAGGTCGACCTCCAGGGGCCTGGACCCCTTCCAGGGCTCCGGTCTTCCACTCCGCGTCGGTTTGCGACGGCCCCGAGGCCCCAAAGGAGGGCCCCTCGAGGCCGAACGTCCGAACCTAGCGAGAAACACCTCCCGCTTGGACTCTCTCGCGCCGCGAGGGGGTCTGGGGCGCCCGCGGGCCTCCGAGTACGGCGGCGGCGCCCGCGCTGAGCGCGCGCGCGGCGAGCAGCGGCGGCGCCAGCCCCGGGCCCCGCGGCCTCGGCCGCGGTGCCACGGCGGCGGCGAACGACGAGCGGCGGCCGCGGCGAGGAGGGCGACGGCGAGGACGAGCGGCCCCTGCGACCCTGGCGTCAAAAATGTTCTCACGCAAGGGCGCTCCGTGGGGCGCGACGTCGTGGCGGGCGCTCAGAGAGGGGGGAGCAAGGTGCCTCTTTGGGGCCCTCAAAGGCCCCCCCAATTGGGCCCCAGAGGGCCCCTAATGGGGGCCCCGAGAGGGCCCTTTCCTGCAGCCCTCGCTGCCCCCCCATTCATCGCCGCCCATGCATTCGCGCCCAAGCTTTCGCCCGGCTTCGGGCTCCGGGACCATCACAGATTGATCCGGCTCGGGAAACTCCGGTTGTGATTTGTCGCGATGTTGAAACTGTTTCGCAACGTCAGATCTGGAGGACGACGAGCGATGGCGACGACTACAGCGACGGCGGCGCTGGCGACGGCGCTGGCGACAGGCGGCGACGGGCGGTGGCGGCGGGGGCGAACGAGGACGAGGACGAGCTGTGAACACGACTAGCTCCGACGAGTACGGTAACGACGACGGCCGCGGCGGCGCCGACAAGCACAACCACGACGAACTACGCGGAGCAGCGATGACGTCGACTACGACGGTCACCACGACGGCGACCACGACAACGCCGAGCGGAAGACGACGACGTCGTCGACGACGACGACGACGACGTCGACGACGTCGACTGGCGGCGACGGCGAAAACGATGAGCTACGGCAAGGCCGCGATCGCCGAGCTCCCCGAACCTCCGACGTCGCGTTTTCTTCACAACTGGGACGCAGTAGACACCCAGAGATCGTGACACACCCTTGGAGGGAGGGAGGGAGGGAGGGAGGGAGGGAGGGAGGGAGGAGGAGGAGGAGGAGGAGGCAAGGGAGGATGGAGGAGGGAGGAGGAGGGAGGAGGGGAGGAAGGGGGAGGAGGAGGAGAGGAGGGGGGGAGGAGGAGGGAGGAGGAGGAGAGGGGGAGGAGGAGGGGAGAGGAGGAGGGAGGAGGAGGGAGGAGGAGGGAGGAGGAGGGAGGAGGAGGGAGGAGGAGGGAGGACCAGCTTCTCCTCCCGCGCCGTTTGACGGCCCTCTGGGGCCAGGCAAGGAAGGGCCCTCGGCGGCCCGAGCGGCCGAGAGAGCCCCTATACAGAACCCTCTCCTCGTCGCGACTCCTCCTCCACGACGACGCGAGGAAGCCTTGCGACCACGGCGAAGGAGCAGCGGCTCTTTTACGAAGGATTGCAAAAAAACGAAGGATTGCAAAAAAACCCTGTTTTTTTTGCAATCCAGGGTTTTTTTGCAATCCTTCGGTTTTTTTGCAATCCTTGGTTTTTTGGCGAACCCCGGATCTTCGACTGTGGATCCACGAGCACCGATCCTCGCTCCTCGATCCACGCACCTCGGATCCTCGATCCTCGAGTCCTCGGAGGCTCGACCCTCGACCCTCGGACCCTCGATCCTCGAGCCTCCGGTCCTCGAGACCTGGACCCTCGAGCCCCGGGTCCTCCATCCTGGAGCCCCGGGTCCTCGATCCTCAGGTCCTCGGGTCCTCGATCCTCTAACCTCGATCCTCGAGCATCGATCCTCGAACCTCGAACACCCGATCCTCGATCCTCGGATCCTCGATCGTCGAACCTAAAATCCTCGATCCTCGGATCATCGATCCTCGGTTCCTGAGATCCTCGAGCCTCGGATACTCGATGCTCGATCCTCGAACCTCAGGTCCTCGGGTCCTCGATCCTCGAATCTCGATCCTCGAATCTCGATTCTCGATCCTCAAACCTCGATCCTCGAGCATCGATCCTCGAACTCGCGATTCTCGGATGCTCCGATCCTGGATCATCGACTCTCAATCCTCGATCCTCCATCCTCGGATCCTGGACCCTGGACCCTCAGATCCTCGGGCCTCGGATGCTCGATGTTCGATCCTGGAGCCTCGGCTCATCGAACCTCGACTCCCGATCCTCGATCCTCGAACGTTCGAACATCGATCCTCGAACCTCGATCCTCAATCCTCGAAACTCGAACCTCCAGTCTCGGACTCGAGGACGGCGACGATGGCGGCGAGACCCGACGGGGCCAGCGACGGCGCCGCACTCAGGAACGCGGCCCGCCGGGCCCTCGACGCGAGGAAGGCGGCCACCGCCACCGGGCCCGCAGCCGAAGGGCGGGCGACTTTGCGGGGGGGGCCCTCCCTCCTCCTCCCCCTCCTCCTCCCCCTCCTCCTCCTCCCCCTCCTCCTCCTCCTCCTCCCCCTCCTCCTCCTCCTCCTCCCCCTCCTCCAGACCTCCACTTCCCAGACATGATCGCGTCGTTAAACAAATCAGGACTGCAGGTTGTTTGCTCTTCTCGGCCCCTGGGGGCCCTCGCCGGGCCCCGGGACCGGTTTTTCATCCTGGGTCGACTCAGGATGAAACACTGGTCCAGGGGAATGGGTCGAGACCTCCAGGGGTCGACGCAACGAAACAATCATGGGGTCGGTGGTCTTTAGGTTTGACGTCGCAGCGCGGCAGAGGCAGGCCGCAGGGCGCGCCCGGGCGAGACCGGGGCAGGAACTCCCGAGTTGCCCGCATGCAGGAGAGGGGGGGCGGCGCGGGAGGCGGCCGCGGGAGGGGGGGGGGGTACCAGCCTGGAACATATCCTCATCCCTGTGTTGGGCATCGCCTCATCGCGATGGCGATGTTGGGGGGTTCCTCTCAGTTTCTGAGGGCGTATCCCTAAGACTGCCACCTCCTTTCAGCGTGCCAATCTTGGGGATAGGGACAGGTTCGAGGCTGGCGAGGGGGTGTGGCCGTGCGCGGGGGGGCACTCACGCCGCAGGGCTGCGGCGAGCGGGCGGAGGGGCGGCCGGGCTGAAGGGCCGCCCCTCTGGCAGCCGTCGCGGGGCGGCATCTCGCGGTGCGCCCAGACCTCCACGCGTCGTGAAGGGAAGAAAAAACAGAACGGAGGCTCGGCCCCGAAGTCCTTGCTCGGCCGAGCGTCCTAAGGGGGGAGGAGGAGGAGGAGGAGGAGGAGGAGGAGGAGGAGGAGGAGGAGGAGGAGGAGGAGGAGGAGGAGGAGGAGGAGGGGAGAGGAGGAGGAGGAGGAGGAGGAGGAGGAGGAGGAGGAGGAGGATGAGGAGAGGAGAGGAGGAGGAGGAGCAGGAGGAGGACCCCGTTCTCGGCACCCGAAGTCCTTGCTGGGCCCCGGGGCCGTCGGCAGAGCGCCTCGGGAGGAAGAGCTGGTCCCGGGGAAGCGGCCTGACCTCGGGAAGCCCGCGTGGTGGACAAGAGCGCGCCGTCGGAGGTCCAGGCGGTCGGCACGGGCCTCCTGCTGCTTGTCCAGTGTAGGGCCCAAGGATCCCCGCGTCGCAATCTGTTCACGCCGGGCGTTTTCTCACTCAAGCTCGTCCCGAACAGTGCCGCGGGAAGACGAGGTCGATAGGGCTCCAGTCGCGATCTCTGGTGATGCTGCAATGTTTGTTCGCGACGTCGGATCCCAGGAGAGGGAACAAAAGAATCTCCAGAGCCCCAGGATCACCGCGACGGGGCAGGCATGACACAGTGGCCTCTGGAGGCCAGGTCGATCTGGGTTGCGGCTGGAGCCCCGGAGAGGTGGGGCCTCTCAAGTAGAGCGCCAACTTTCGGTGAGACGCGTGGCCCCTCCAGAGCCCGACATGGATCGTTGCACGGACCCTTTTGCGCCCCAGATTGGTAGGACCTCTCAGGTAGAACGCCTGTTTTCAGGGAGTCGGATTCTCATCCCTTCTCAGAGACCCATGGAAGAAGGAAAACCGCCATGAACATCAACTGTTGGCACTCCGCACGGATTTCTTGGATCTGCACTGGACCCCCCTCCCTGGCGCGCAGAGCGCGCCAGGGGCGGCGCCGGAGGCGCCGCCGAGGGGCCCAGCGCGGATCCAAGAAATCCGCGCGGAACGCCAAAAGTTTATGTTTATGTCGTTGCTTCTTCTTCGAAAAGACCTCTCAGGTAGAACGCGTGCTTTCAAGGAGTCGGATTATCATCCGTTTTCACAGGTCCAGGACCATCGTGATGTAGCAAGCGTGGTGCCAGTGCCTCCAGAGGGAAGCCCGGCCTGTCCAGAGCAGCAGGTGACGGCAGATAGCAGCGGGGGGCACCGCTCACACTGGCTGCGACACAGACACTTACAGAGGACAGAGCTAAAACGTGACATGCCAATTCTGAGGTTTCCGCGCAGATAAATTTGTGTGCGGCGTTTGGAAGTTGCAAACAGCTGCAACAAAAATGGAGTGCGGCCCGTCTTCGAGATGTGGCTCTCGCCTCAGCGCCGCGAATGCTGGCCTGAAAGCATTCCTACTGCTCGACGCATAGAAGGCGGGTCGTCTTCAAAATAAGGATCTGGCCTGAGTGAGACTTCCTAACAACTACAAGGATGGTGGGCGGCCGGTTTTCCAAATGCGGCTCTCGCCTCGACGCCGCGCACCCTCGATCATTTCTACCTCCAATCAGCAAAAAGGATGAATGGCGGCCCTTTTCAAAAACAGGTACCTCCATGACACGGCTTGTACTTTATGTTTCCACCTCTTCGCATTCCTTATCTTGTCTACATGGGCGCAGAGCCGTGTATGTTCACGACATGGCTCTCGCCTGAGTGCCAAGCCATGGGGACTTGGTCTTTCAAGGGGGCACTTCCCGTATTAGTGAAACAAGGAATTCCTGTAGGGACTTGTGATTGGGGGGCTTGGGACTGGGGTGTGTTGCGCATTGCGCTATCATTGATGCACCAACGGTTTGCTCTGGCCCTCCTCCTTCTCCTCCTGCTCCTCCACCTCTCGACTCCTCTCGGCTTCTTTCGACTCTGACTCCTCCTCCCCCTCCCCACTTCCCCTCCCCTTTCACCCCGCCATTTCCTGTGCTCCGCATCCTCCTGACTACCTCCCTCCCCAACTCCCTCTCTCCCTTCCTCCCTCTCTCCCTCCCTGTTGGCCTCCTTATTACAATGTTTCTCCTGTTTCAACGGAAGGGGCCCAAAGTTCTGAACTACTCTGACATGTCTGCAGGGAGCACCTTGCCCGAACTACCCACGCGTGCATTACGAGTGTGCCCGCAAGTGAGCGGCAGTGCATCCTCCGACGATAGGCACGCGCGACGCTCCATCCACCTCCTGCCTTTTTCCCTCTTCCTCCTTCTCCTTCTCCCCCTCCTCCTCCTCCTCCTCCTCCTCCTCCTCCTCTTCCTCCTCCTCCTCCTCCTCCTCCTCCTCCTCCTCCTCCTGCACCTCCTCCTCCTGGTCCTCCACCTCCTTCCAGTGCCGATGGCCTCTCGCAGCCTGTGAGGTTCTTCCTCTTTATATTTGGCGAGGGACACACGGGGTACGCACTTGCAAGACAGAACCCCTCACGACGAACACCCTCGAAAGACGTCGCCTGAGCGACGAAAAGAAAGGGGTCTTGCGCGAGATGACGTAGCGACCTTACGCGGCGGCTTACGCGCGCCGCCAGCACGGCACGCCAAAATGGAGACGAGGGCGCTCACACTCGACCATACGCGGGCAACTTACGCGCCAGTGCCGGCGCAGACGACCCCGTTTTTTGAGCGGCTCACTTGATTAAGGAGCCGCGGCGACACCAGCACATCCCTCCTGTCATCTTACGCTCACTGCTGCTACCGCTGTCGTTCGGCACACTCTGCATGCTACCCCGGCGCTGTAGCCTCTTCCCAGCTCACCTCCAACTCATTCTCAACTAACAAGCGCGACGCCCTTGGGTATGGCTGTGTGAGGGTGAGCATTCCCCAGTCTGCCCTCCGTTATGGCTGTGTAGGGGCGAGCCTTCCCCAGTCTACCTCTTGAAGTTGCTGTGTGTGGGTGAGCCTTCCCCCCGTTTGCCTCTTGACATGTCATTGTGGGGGTGGGCCTTCCCAAATGTGCTCCCCGATATGAATTGTTTCGGGTGAGACTTCCCCAATCTGCCTCTCGATCTGGCGCTGTTGGGGTGAGCATCTCTCAGATTGCCCCCTGATGCGGCTTGTGGGCAAGAGACAAGCGAAAAATCTGGGGGTGACGCTTTCGGGGACACACTGGACCGGGTCAGTGCAAACCGGGGCCAGTCAAGCACCGCAAGATCCTGCAAGATCCTGCGCGCAAGCCCAGGTCAAGGCACCCGTGATTCTGAAAGATCCTGCGAAATCCAGCGCTCTGGCCGACCTCCGTCTGAATTGACCCCCGTCGCTTGGAGCGCGGCCCACGGAGGGAGGTCAGTTTCGGTTGGCCCCAGGGCCGTCTGGGAAGCCAGGGTGGGCCCGAAGGCTGACAATTTAGAGCGGCGGGGATGACGAGGCGGACTGGCTTAAGGTCCCCCCTGGCGACACCCGGCCCTCCCATGGCTTCCCCACGCGCCCCCGGGCGGGGGGGGCGTCGCGGGCTGACGAGTCAGCATGGTGGTCGTGGTGGGCCGAAGGCCGACAGTCACGCCTCCCTCCTGCCTCCCTCCGCACCTCCTCCGAAAGCGCCCAAGATGCCGCGGAAAGGATGATGATTAACATCGTTGGTTCGGTAAGAGCCAGCGGCGGCGGTACCCTCGTCATCGTCGTCGTCGTCGTCGGCGTCGTCGTCGTCGTCGTCGTCGTCGTCGCCGTCGCCGTCGTCTTCGTCGTCGTCGTCGCCCCGGACATCCGTGGACGCCGCTAGTTGCTTCTCCGTACTTCCTCCGTCCCTCCCTTCCTCCGTCCTCCTCTTCCTCCTTTTCCTTTTTCCCCTCCCTTCCCTCTCCCTCGTCCAGCCAACATGGCGACTGCTCTAATGCGCCACCCGTTCGCGTCGCGCTCTGCACCGCCTGGCATACATGACAAAACAAAAAAACAAGCGCGAATTTGGATAACGAGCTGAACACCACTCAAGGATCACTTGGTTTCTAAGCCAATGTGGCAACTCTTCTGATGCGGACACTACAGAACTCGCCACCCGCGCGGGCGCGTAGTATTCTGTTCTGCTGGGTCGACATGTTAAAACGCGCGTTGCCGCGGATCTCCGATTGCTGACCACTAAGGAACCAGTTTGCCTTACAGGCCAACGGGCGCCTTGTTTAATGCGAACACTACAGACCTTCCCACTAGCACGTGTCGTGCGCTGAACCACCCGATATTGGTATGTGACAAAAGCACGCAACATCATACATCAAATCGTTGACTGCCATGGGTTCACTTTAGTTTCCAAG